GAATGACAAATTTTCAGCAGTGTATGAGAATGGATTTTTGAGTGTACATAGCACTGAGCATCTGCTGTATTTGACGAAGAAATTAGATTTCTGTAGTTAGTTGGGAGATTCTGCGAGTGAAGCAGGATACCATTCAACTTCAAATTTATAGAAAGATGTTATTTTTATTTTCGTTATTTAACGGAAAGGCCACTTCACCGTTCACCGAATTGAGAACTCATATATGTAAGAGACGTTTGCAATCGGAAATGTATTAAAGGTATCGGTCCAAACCCTGCGGCAAACTTAGTTACAAAATAAAAAAAATATTCAACATGTTTACTTTGACGTTTTCAACATAAGCATACACTACTAATAGCCTTCAGCTCTCTTGCGTACATATACCGTACACTTCTATAGTGATGGGTAAGAAATAAATTAGAGAAAAAGGTTAATTTGAAGTTTTTAATTACGATGTCTTGCTAGATCCTAAATGTAGATTTTGAAGTTCTTTCTTGTTGACAACATTCAAGAAAACAAGCCGTAGAAAAACTCTGATGTGCTCGAAACTTATGTTTCCCAAGCATTTTGCCACTCAAAACAATGCTGCTTGAGCTCAAGACTGTTCAATCTTAAGTTGTTACGACTAAAGTAGAAAGGGTTGCTCCGTGTTGAGTATTTTCAAAATGACATGTTACATGTTCTAGAAACATCTTAGTTTTCTTGCCATGTAAATCGATTTACTGTCATTGCGATGGTGCGCATATGTGAACAAATTAATTAATAAAACAAAGTTTTACAGCCATAACAGTCAGTCGTTTTCTACCCCTATATGTTACTCTTCATTATGGCAACAATCCCATAAATAATCATACCGTCGCACTGCAAAGCCTTCAGATGAATGTGGAAAGTAACACAGCAGGATATCTTCCGCAAAATATTTAATATATGCGTAACATGCAGGACGCTCCACAAGGGCAATTCGCCTAATGATCAATTTCCTCCCAATATTGTAGTTCAATTACTTTTCTAGCAACGTTTTATACATTTTCCTTCTACGACCCCCATTCATTATGAACACCTAGCCCCTCTCCCCCTTCCGTGTTGGGACGGTCACGTCACACGCTTAACTCCCCCCTCCTCCCGCCTTTTTTGTATAGGTGTGTAGCTATGAAATTATGGCGAGCACTGAAGT